CTGTGGATGGAAATGGGCAGACCTTGGGTAGACCTTGTACGTAAATGCTTCAAAATGCTTTCCTTAAAGCCTGTTTTTCAAAGCTAAAAGGATGTGCTTGAAAAATGACTTTATCCCATTTTTGAATTCTCAGGGCAGCTGCTTTGGTTTGAACTCTATTTGCACATTTTACCTCAAAATGCTTTCAATTAAAAAATAATTGAGCAGAATTCTTCTGCATATTATTTTCCACCCATGTGGAATAATCTACCTTTAGTTATTCTGAGATGTGCTTAACAAGCACAAGGCTCTTAAAATAGCTGGGCTGGCTATGCATTGTAAGTGATTTGTGAGAACACAGGACATAGCGAAAGCTCTATTTTCATTTAATGCCATCTGTATTTAAAACAAGCTTGTTTCTGCCCTTATTAAAAAAGTCAGGTCTTATCATCGGATTATGCCATTGCAGTGAAATTATTGTAGCAGTGAAATTATTGTTCCTCCCAAAGATCATTGGTGAGTCACAATACGAAGAAATGCCACACACCTCAAGTTCATCCAGAGAGACCTCTGTATACATCGTGTCACACATGATGTGAATTTATGTGAATGTCTAAAATAGCAATATTTGCACACATCCAAGTGCTTGTCACTGCATATACCATACATGTGCACATGCAAGGAAGCTGGAGAGGAGAGGGGAGAGAAATCCGTTGGAAATGAAGTGTCTTAGGAACTGATTGATCTGGAAGGTAAGAAAAGAGAAAATTTGTCTGCATAGTAATTAATGGTGTTTAGGAGATTGCAGTAAAAGTCCATGTTTGTGCCTCTAGAAAAAAACTGGAGTGGAATATTAATCATCAGAGGGCATGGGATTTGGACTGAAGAAACTCATTGTAGTTAATTGAATTAGTTATGATTATCCATTTGACACCAAGGGATCTGGAGGTTTGCAAGCGTCTAGCCATCAATTGGTCCAGAAATGAGCTGAGACAACTCCATTTTTTCCTTTTCTTTTTGAAAATGCCTCTGCTTATTTCCAGTCCAGAGGTGACTCACCCACCTTGAGAAAAAACTGGATCCTGGGACTTATTAACAGTCCAGATGAACAAGCCACCAGGTCTGGGGGCTGCCTACTTGAGAAGCCTTAAAGAATTCCAGTGATAATTGTTGATAATCTAGCAAAATGATACCACAGCACCAAAGACAGCCTCCGTCCTGGAAGACAGGAAATCAGCCAACAGAATCCAAAGTTCCTGAAAAGGGCAGACCATGTTCCTGGCAGTGCAGTAGAAATCACTCTTCAAGGGGAAATTGCTAAGCAGATTGCAGAACAAGCAACACTGAGGGGAAAGTCAGCCTACTCCTAAAAAGGGAACTGCTGCCTCCCCAGTCTTTGGAGTTCTTCGGAAGTGTCAGTGTGTGATCTACCGGGCAGGGGTGATCTATTCGGCCTTCCAAATATTTTGCTTTTGCTTTTTATATATATAAACATTTCTGCTATGTACTACTCAGGGCAACTTACAACCATTCACAATCACAGCATCACACCATCAGCCTCCACAGCATCTGGAGGACACCAGAGTGGCTTCTCCCATCTGTGTCTCGTTGCTAAGGCCTTCTCTCAGAGGACCCAGTTTTTCCGTGGCAGGCCATGGCTCTCAGTTGACGATCCCAACATGCGTCCCTTGGGCGTACATGTGCATCACCACTTGCCAGCATGCACATGTCGAGAAGGACATATGGGAGGTAACTCTCCCATGGAAATATGTCAAATCCACTCAAAGGCCCTCAGCATCATTATTTTCTCAATTTAAGAATGTCACTGTTCATTAGGGACTGCCCCACCCTTGAGCAGCCGCCCCTATCCAAGCAAGGTTCTCACCTTGCCTCAAGTCTTGCCTTGGCTGGATGTTTTGGCTGTTCTAAAAGAGAGAGACCAGATTTATCAATCTATAGGATTCAACTCCCTCCACAAAGAGTGGACGCGTCATATCAAAGCACGTGCTTCGTGCCATTTCATGTAATGCAGCTGCTGAAACAAGTTTTTAACACTTGGGAACACATTGTAGGATACTTAGTTTTTTTAACATCCCTTTAACTGAAAGTTCCCTTACCTTCTTGGCTTTTTAGCCAGTGGGAGGGGAACTACCATAAAAGGGAACACAGCATGGAGAAGGTAAATGGAAATTTTCAACGAGTTATTGGGAGTGGGACTTAGTCAGTGATCAATGGTAAGATAATTGGGGTATTAAAAGCATATGATGGTGAATAGGGCATGTTTATTAGCTACTATCTGAACTTCTGACTTAGACAACACCTGCATAGCTTCAGCAATGCTACAGTCTATATGTTCCCCAAGTTACACAGCGATTCTGCAGTGTCTCCAGCAGAAAAGATGGAGAGCAAAGCTTCTAGCTACAATGGCTATGTGCTCCCTCCACAGTCAGAGCCAGCAGACCTCTGAATATCTGTGGCAAGAAAGGCATGTGTTTGGTTTGCATTTGCTGGTGCCCTGTAGGCAACTGCTTGGCCACTGGGAAACATGCTGGACTTCATTGGCCAGCAAGACTCTTCCTACAGCCCTAGCCCAGCCCTGTTATACCAAGACTCATGCAGGGACCTGCCCAGGGTGCTATTCCACCAACCATGTCACCTCTTTGCATCCCACCAGATGCAACCAGGATGGGTGGGTATCAAGACTGAACAGGCAGCCCCTAGCCAGCCCACCCTTGGCCATTGCAAGAGAAAGAGGAGGAAGGGGAGAATGTCTGCTTGTCACACAAGGCCTCTGCTGCTGCTAGAATGGGGACCTTGAATGGAGGAGTGGAGCACAAGCCACTGATCCCCAAGAACCCCCACAGTCGGCGCCAGCGTCTAATGGCTGCCTTTGCCTCGAGCTCCGAGGCAGGACTGCTCCGCGGGATCGGGTCTGACCCGCTACGGCGAGCGGGGGACCCCTAAAATCACAGGCGCTGAAGCCTGTGGACAAGGAGATCCGGTGGGCACCTTTGCACCCCCCGGTATCGCGAAAGAGCCTTTTTAAAGGCTCCGGAGCGGCATCGGGAGTGAGTGCGGTGCTGAGGATCGCTACCCAGCCTGCGGAGTGAAGCCGCGTCGCCATTGACGGAGAGCGCCGATTCCTTCCTGAAACAACTGATTGACTACAAACCCCGTGAGTAAGAACTGAAAAGTAAAGGGGACTTTAAACTTAAGAAGATTTGGCTGAAAACGGGAAAGGCAAAAAATAAGGAAGTCTGCCTCCCGGAGCTGCATGATTAACGGAGCAATGAAAAGACTGAGCCCACCCAACCCACAAAGCCATCTCTCCTAGCAGGACCAAGAGAAGCCAGCCATGTAGGGAGCCAGGGAGGTGCCAAATGTACCAAAGGGGAGGGATCAGCCCACTGCTGTCATTGCCCCAGGAAGCATAGAGCTGGCTCCTAACAATGCCCATTCTGAGCCACATGAGTACATTGCTATTGCTCCTCTCCCTGCTCTGTTCAAGCAGAACCTCCAGCCCATAAGAGGGGTGGTTGCCTTTTTTAAAAAAAGTACCGCCCCACATTCTCTTGTTTGGCCCAGGACACCTCTTTGTGCTCCATCTCCCTACAGAGGGGGGTGGCAAGCTGAAGCCCCAACAACAATGCCTTGTTAACTAAAAGCTTAAAGGTAAAGGACCCCTGACAGTTAAGTTCACTCGCTCATCTCACTTTACTGGCCGAGGGAGCCCCCATCGCGGGGATTTGAACCACTGACCTTGATCAGCAAGCCCTGGGCTCAGTGGTTTAGACCACAGCACCACCCGCGTCCCTAGTAGCTAAAAGCTTAGACTGAGGTAACTCAAGTTCAAAGCTGGCTACACGTGGTATGCTCAAAGAATGTTACTCATATTGGTCTAAAAAGGCCCTGAACCTTCTCAAGGGAGCAGGATCCTCACAGCCCCTATTTCCTTCAAGATAGCTGCGCACTTAATATTGACTTATAAAATATGATACATGTGGGTTTCAAAATATCCCTTGCTACATATCTGCCATTATGCCTCACAGAGAGTTCTGTGTAGCTTTATATCTTCCATTTTCCTTGTTTCGCAGAAAGCATATATCCTGCAGAGGGACGTGGGTGGCACTGTGGGTTAAACCAGAGAGCCTAGGACTTGCCGATCAGAAGGTCGGCGGTTCGAATCCCTGTGACGGGGTGAGCTCCCGTTGCTCGGTCCCTGCTCCTGCCAACCTAGCAGTTCGAAAGCACGTCAAAGTGTAAGTAGATAAATAGGTACCGCTCCAGCGGGAAGGTAAACGGCATTTCCGTGCACTGCTCTGGTTCGCCAGAAGCGGCTTAGTCATGCTGGCCACATGACCCGGAAGCTGTACGCCGGCTCCCTCGGCCAATAAAGCGAGATGAGCACCGCAGTCCCAGAGTCGGCCACGACTGGACCTAATGGTCAGGGGTCCCTTTACCTTTATATATCCTGCACGTCAACTACTTGGAGCAGGTTTTTTTTTAAAAAAAGGAAAAAATACTGTTTTCTGAATCACGTAAGGAATGAAAATTTAAAAGACAGTAAAACTGAAAATACTGCACAAATACTGTAGTTACACACTTTAAGGCCTTTATCCTAGTCACCTTTACCTGAGAGTAAGTTCCATTGAAATCAATAGGACTTACTTCTGAGTAGACAAGTGTGGATGTGCCAAGTGTGTCACCATGAATTCAGTCCAGCTGATTACCATATAGGTAAGCAGATATTAATGTAATATTAATGACTTAAGATTTTTGTGCCGCTTTAAGGCAAGACTATTATTTCTGCAACAGCATTTGGTTCCCCCACTCAATATTCTCAAAATAAATTGCTAGTATCTGGTACTAAACTATAAATATTGTGCTGCAGACACAAAAGGTTTGTGACCTTTAAATATTCTCCAGAATATGGTTTGTCATTGCTGCCTATTTGAACACTGTTGGATTAATCTTATTTATAATCAGTCTTAACGCACATTAACACACAGCACAACTTCCAGTGGCAAATGAACAGTGGGCATTGTGCTTTTATTTTATTTTTTAAAAAATATACAGCATTCATGCTACTTTGGTATACCACTTATGGGCCAACAACCATCTCTCTCAGAAGGACACAACTCTTCATTTCAGTTAGAGTTACTTCTGAGTACCTTTAACTGTGGTCCTACAGTGAAACTTACTTCAGAGTAAACATGTATCTGATTGCAGCTCAGTCGTGTGAATGTTTATTTAATCATTCACTCACTTGTTTTAAATATTTTGATCACATTCTCCATTAGAAACAATTCCAGAGTGGCTTACAATAAAACACGATTCATATACACAAAACAGCACCATGAAACTTGACGATGAATGTGGGTAATAGGAATCACTCCCACAGAGGTACAGAAAAAAACTGTTCCTTAGTTCATGGTCTTGAGACCAATTATATTCCACATAATGCTGGAATTGTTTATAATGGGTCTGACACAGCTAAAGTTCATAACTGCTAATTCCCATATATCTTAATAAGAAAATTAAATACATGCCCAACAGCACAACCCCTATACGTACTTACTTACAGACACTTTCAAGGGAGTTTGGGGCGGCTGCCTAAATCTCTCAGTGGGGCTTAGAAGTGCTTTATATTGGCTGATCTGTGTCCAACATTTACATCAATAGAATACATTAAAAAAACCACACCCTCTGAAATAATGTTTCTCAAAACATGAATATAAGCCCCTCCTAAAGCCAAAAATTCATCTAAGAGCTCTCCTAAGGGCTAAATGTAAAATGAAAATGCCAAAATGTTAAAAAACAAAAAGGCTATAGACTTTAATGTCTTTAGATAGTTCTGAGAAATATTAATGCAGCAGTAATATACACTACAAATCTAAAAATGACTGAGCAATTGCTATAACATTTGAAAGTTACTTATTATAAATATTGAACCTTGACATTGTATGAATACTAAAATGAGTAGGTCAGATTTGCCTCAGTAGTATTCTTATTTCCTTAATGGACAATTGACCATTTATTTTATATTAAAAAAGGTTGTATGCTTTATTCCTGGACATGAGTGCTAGTTCACATAGAGGAGAACATTCCTGGGCGCAAAGGGAGGTAATGTGTTCCTTGCATACTTATTTGTAAGTCCTGTCACGTTCAACAGGAATTATTCCCAGGTAAGTGTGCATAAGATTGTCCTAATAAATACTAAGCTCAGAAGTAAACCCCATTGAATTTGATGGGCCTCTCTCCCAGGAAAGCAGGATTGCCCCCTTAATGAAGTGCACCACCTCCATTGAAATGAATGGAGGCTGCTCTGCTCCAGAACACTCCTGAGCTCAATACCTCCTTCATTTCAGTGGGACTTTCTCAGGACCAGTATTGTGTCAAACTCTTTTTCCTCCCTGATTCAATATAAGGTGTAGCAGCTGGACAATTAACTATCAATGATTCAACTCTGCAAGTTTCAAATCTGGTTGTCAATATAATTTAGATGTTTTTGGTTCCCAGGAACCAGCAAGAAAATCCATTTCCCAAAACAGAAAACCACCAAAGTGTGAGTTGCAGGAACAGAAACACAACAGAAAAACAGTAGCTTGAGACACCTTCCGACTTTGGTCAGAGTAAAATCCAAACTGTGGCCAAACAGCAGTCTTCTGAGAGGACAGTTGTCCTTTTAATGCGCTCCTGTCAGTTTCCCTTGGCACTTCTGGACAGGCCTTGTAAGCCCAGCCTTTCACCCCCCCCCCCGTCCACTGGACTGGAATGCCCCCTCTTCTCTCTGTTCCCAGTTCACTGCTGGTTTATGAACTTCCTGCAGGTTAGCATTAAATAATGGCAAGAGGAATAATCGAGAGCCGCAACTAGGGTCTGCCCCAAGCCCAAAGGATTCCTTTTTTAAAGGCTCTTCCCAAGTGGGGTGAAGTCTAAAGTAGACACGTGGGGGTGAGGGGGGAGATTCTGCCCAGCGAAATGTCCCCCTCGCAGTCGCCCGACTCGGTGGCGCCCTCTGGGTCGGGAGAGATCTGGGACGCGCCGTCGAAAGGGCCTCCCCAGCCGCCGCCGCCGCCGCCCCCCAGGTTGGGGATCCTGTCCGCCTCGGTGGCGGCGCCTTCCCTGCGGAAGAAGAAAGTGTCTTGGTTGCAAGAGATGAGCTCGTGGCTGAGGTTGGCCGTCTCCCCCGGGGAGCCCGAGCAGGGCCGGCTGCAGCCCAGCAGGCGCCAGAAGACCTTCCTGAAGTCGGCGTTGAAGGCGTAGATGATGGGGTTGAGGGAGGAGTTGGCCCAGCCGAACCAGACGAAGACGTCGAAGGTGGTGTCGCTGACGCAGGGCAGGCCGGCGGCGGGGTCGCCGGGGGAGCGGTCGCAGAAGGGCACCATGCAGTTGAGGACGAAGAAGGGCAGCCAGCAGCACACGAAGACCCCCATGATGACCGAGAGCGTCTTGAGGACCTTGGTCTCCTTGCGCAGCGACGACTTGAGGCCCGAGTGGTGGTGCTGCGGCTGGTGCAGAGGATGCGCGCAGTCCAGGCGCCCGCCGCCGCTGCGGCAGCTCTCGGCGTGCTCGGCCGCCCTCTCCAGCGACGAGATCCGACGGATCTGCACCTGGGCAATCCGGTAGATCCGCGTGTAGGTGACGATCATGATGGCCACGGGAATGTAGAAGCTGATCAGCGAGGAGGAGATGGCGTAGGTCCGGTTCAGGCTGGAGTCGCACTGCTCCGACGGCGCCGCCGCCGTGCCGTTGCTGCTGCCCCAGCTCCCCGGCTCGGGGCTGGCGGTCCAGGGGGCGCGCGGGTCGGGGCCTTTGTGCCAGTTGAGCTGGACGGGGAGGAAGGAGATGAGGATGGAGAGCGCCCAGGCCAGGCCGACCATGGCCAGAGCCACGCGGGGGGTCATCTTCCTCTCGTACCTGAAGGGGCTGGAGATGGCCCAGTACCTGTCGACGCTGATGACGCACAGGTTGAGGATGGAGGCCGTCGAGCACATGATGTCGAAGGCCACCCAGACGCTGCAGAAGGCGCCGAAGGGCCAGTAGCCCGCCACCTCGGCCGCCGCCTTCCAGGGCATGACCAGCAGCGCCACCAGCAGATCCGAGACGGCTAAGGAGACGATGAAGATGTGCGTGACCTTGGCGCGCAGGTGCCGCGAGCCCACGATGGCGGCGCACACCAGCACGTTCCCCAGGAGGGTCCACACCACCAGCAGCGACAGCAGGCTGCCCGCCGCCACCATGGGCGCGCCGCCGGCGGGGCTGCCGGGAGGAGCTCCGGCCGCGGCGGGCTCCGTGGCGCCGGGAAGCAGCCCGCGCGAGCGCGGCGTCGGGGGGGCGCCCGCTTGCCCGCGCAGCGTGGCGTTCCTGCTCCAGGGCGCCTGCAGCATGGCCACCGCCGCCGCCGCTCTCCGCCCGCTCCTCCTCCGGCCGAGGGCGCCGCTTGGCTCTTCCAGCGCGCTCCGCTCGGCCCCATCGGTTCCCCCGGGCCGGCCCGTCCCTCAGCGCCGTCGAGCGCGCCGCCCGCCCGCCCGCGCCCCTTTCCGCCGGCGCGCCTGCTGCTGCCCGCTGCCCGCGTCCCTGGCAGGTGCCCGGCGCTCCTCCTCTGCCGCTCGCATGCCGACGCCCTCGCGGAGCCTCCCCCTGGCCCGCCCTCGCCGGCCCCGAGGCTCTTCGCCCCGACGGCCCAGCGGGAGGGCTGGGCTGGGGGCGAGCGAGCGAGGCCGGCGGCGCCGGGGCTGCGAGGCGAGCTGCCTTCCCCTCTCCCGGCCCCACGAGGCTCTCCCCTGCCCGCGCTTTCCTCCCGGACGGCGCCTCCTCCTCGGCCGGCCGCTGGTCGGGGTGGCCGCGGTCGCCTCGCCCCCTCCCTGCACGTCGCGCTGCTTCGGAGTTCGCGGTGCGGTTCCGCCCGTCCACGGGCGAGCATGCGCAATCCCTGAGCTCGGGGGAGCACCGAAGAGCCGAGGGTGGGGTGAGGGGTCGGGACTCGGAGGGGGGGGGACGCGGGCTGGACCCGGACTGCCTCCAACTGTTCATCATCATCAATCCTTCTGTCTCTCTTTCTCTCTGTCCACACAGCCCGAAGCATCTTTCACCTGACCGAGGGAAATGGGACGCATCCCCCATTAAAGTCAACCGATGGTCAGCCTGCACCGCCCCCGCCCCCACAGAGAAAACTGAAACACAGCATCATCGCCGTGCTAAAGAGAAGAAGTTGCCTGGAATAACTCATCTCATGAAAACACTCTGCACATGCCTTCGAGAAAGCTTAGCTGCCTGCCTGCCTGCCCGCCTGCCTGTTAGGATTATTTTTAAAAATGATGCAGAAATAATAGGTTTGTTAGTATTTAAGGAGCCATGAGACCCTCAGCTGTTTTTGCTGCTAGAGACTAACAGTCTCTTGGGGTGGGGGGGGGGGTTGCCTACCATGCAGTGACCCTGCTCTGATCTACCTTATTCCGCCTAGGAAAACATGTACCCCAGAGTCTACTAAACCTTCTGCCTTCCATTCTCCGCTGACCCGTCCTGTCCTTGGTCTGAGTCTGGGGGGAGGAGAGTACAAACTCCCCTCGGCCAGCCTGAGCCTGTCATTGCGAGGTCAGGGGTGTTCTCTCTTTCAGCACATTGCACGGCACATCTGGCATTGAGAAAGGGTTCCAGGGCTGACCCATGGCCCGGATTAAGGCCACCCTCTCATGGCACGGAGGCCGTGACAGTCAATGTGGAAATGGGCTCTGACAAGTGCAAGTTCCTCTTGTGGTGACCACAGCATGGAGCAGGCATATTTGGAGCTTTCTAAGGCTGCCAACAGTGGGCAGAAATCAAGAGACCAGCACAGAGGGGAAGCCATGGACTGGAGAAGCGAGAAGGCATCACTTAAAAGCACTGCAGAACTATTTCACATTTACTTTAAAAACATCATCATGTTAAGGCAGATCCCAGATACACCAGTGGCCACTTATACTTATGTAATGTAATATTATGCATGTACCGTAATATGATGCACATATACTCAGAATACGAGGGGCATTCATTAAAGATTTCCCCTGAAGTACTTCCCGTGTACTGAAATAAATGAGACTTGGCACAGTTATTAGTCCATCTCTACATAGAAGAGTCACACACTTCTCCCATCGCTTTATGCAGCTGTGGAGACCTCGTCTGCAGAAGTCGGCAGGTTGTGTCCGAAGCCATGACTTGACCTCAGAAATCAGCTTGCCCTTCAAAAAAAGCTTGCCCTTCAAAAATAACTTCATGGTTGGAAAGAGGTGGAAGTCACATGATGCGAGGTTGGGAGAATTTCATAGCCACGGGACCATGCTTCCATCTGAGCAGCATGCGAGTTGTGAACCAGGGCGTTACCCTGCAGGAGGTGGACACCTTTGGTCAGTATACCACGCCTCTCGATTTTGATGGCCTTCCGCAATTTCTGCAGCAGTGAAGCGTAGTATGTCCCGGTAATTGTGGTACCCTTTGCCAGGAAATCCATCCTCACTACTCCACATTGGTCCCAAAAGACCATGGACATGACCTTGCCCGCTGATGGCTGGACACGTGGTGAGGAAGAGTGCTTCCATTGTTTGGACTGGATTTAGTCTCTGGGTCATAATGATGGACTCATGTTTCCTCCTGAGTAATGAGTCTGGTGAAGAAGTCATCATGGTTTTTGTGACACATGGCCAAAAGAACCCATGAACATGTGACTCGTTCCTGCTTCTGCAAAGGCAGCAGCAGCCGGGGAACCCACTGTGTGGGCAACTTTCCCATGTGCAAATGATCATGGATGATTTTTTCTACAGAGCCCACTCTAATCTTGACACCTGCAGCTAATTGGTGAACGGTTATGTGGCGATCCTCCAAAATGGCAGCCTCCACTTGCTGGATGGTGTCTTCATCAATGACGAACTGTGGTCACCCAGGAATGGGAGCCATTCCACTGAAGTCTGACCACACTTGAACTAATGATGCCAGTGCTTGACTACAACATACAATGGGGCATCCTCCCAATAAGCTCCTTTCATCTCATCGAACGTCTCCCGTGGTGTGCGCCCTTTCAAGTACAGGAACTTGATCACCGCTCTGCTTCAATTGGTTCCATTATCAGATGTTACTCCACGTTAGTACAATTAACAGAGAAACTGTTAGGCGTTCAGAGCTACAAATTACCACGTTACCTATGGAGAGCTGTATCATTATACATGTGCAGTTTCATCCTCCTACGATAACTGGAAGTAGGTCAGGGGAAATCTTTAATGAGCGACCCTTGTAAAAGGAGTTCCATTAAGTTCAGTGGGGCTTACTCCAAGGTAGGTGAGTGTAAAATTGCAGCCTTAGTCAAGATCCTATGTGCTTCCAAGAAGAAAATGACAGCAATACAGACTACAGGGGGCATAGCAGGCACACTTCAAGTCCTCTCCCTGCATCTATGGCAACATTGCCAACACATGCCAATCACAGAGTAAAAGGTAAAGGTAAAGGTACCCCTGCCCATACGGGCCAGTCTTGACAGACTCTGGGGTTGTGCACCCATCTCACTTAAGAGGCCAGGGGCCAGCGCTGTCCAGAGACACTTCCGGGTCACGTGGCCAGCGTGACATCGCTGCTCTGGCTAGCCAGAGCCGCACACGGAAACGCCGTTTACCTTCCCGCTAGTAAGCGGTCCCTATTTATCTACTTGCACCCGGGAGTGCTTTCGAACTGCTAGGTTGGCAGGCGCTGGGACCGAGCAACGGGAGCGCACCCCGCCGCGGGGATTCGAACCGCCGACCTTTCTATCGGCAAGCCCTAGGCTTTTACCCACAGCGCCACCCGCGTCCCTAATCACAGAGTAGAAAGCTCATTTTGTCCCCACATTAGCAATGCATGGACTGAACCAATCCATGCATGGTGACAGGGAACTCCCTCTGTTATGCCACACACACACACACACAAATACCATAGCACCCTCTGCTTGAAGTACCCAACATGGTGGCCTCCTACCATTGGTCCTAATGGCTGGCATGTGCTGCATATCTACTAAGTGTGCTTGCCCTTGTGCATCAGTATCAGACCTACAGTCTTCTTTCTTTTAAAACTGCCTGCCTGGCTTGTGCACTGTGTGAGCATCCTAATCTGAAAGCCACTTCATTTCCTGCTGAGTGTTTCAGAGGGTTGTTTTTCCCCCTGCATGAAATAAAGGGTTCACTTCTCCAAAGCTTCCAACCTCCCCAGGTGTGTAGTTCATATATATGAAATACTTCATGCTCTGCCATGTTGCTGTCTGATACAGGTATGGACACTGATGATCAGTGGTGCCAACTTGAATAAAACATTGGGGGGGGCACCTTTCCCCCTGCCAGAAGGACAGATGGATGGATGGAAGCTGGAGCCGAGTAGGCACAGCCCAGGGTAAGGACCAGCAGAGGCTGCCCTGCCTTCTTCTCTTGCCGGTGCACTATCCCCTCCTCCCTCCACCCAGACGCCAACAGGCTGTGGCCAAATTCACCCCGTGGCAGGGGGCACTGGTCAAGGCTAAGGCCTCCAGAGGGGAGGAGAGGAGGGAGGACAACCTGGGGGAGAGGGAGGCAGGTGGGCAATTGGGTGTCTTACTCGCACTCTCATGTGGCAGTGGCAAAGAACACTGGGGTGGCTTGGCACAGTCAGTGTTTTGGGGGGGCAAAGGGATCTGGGCCCCTTAGTGTTGGTGCCTATGGTGAAGATTAAAACAAACCATTTTTATTTACACATAAGAGCTGTTGAGAGTGCCGTCAACAGCTCACTGGGCTAACTGCCTGGTGAAATCACAGACGCGGAGAGCTTCTTTCAGTCCTTTTCTTTAAATCAACAGAAATACACGGGGCCCGTGGAATTTTGTCCCTCAATCTTGAGCCGTTGCTCCGAGTGCCCGCGCCGCCTCCCCGAGCAGCTACTTCCTCGCTTCCAGACCCCTCCTGCTGTCTATGATGGCCGGCGATGAAAGCTTTCTGTCTCTGTTTGGCTTTCTGCTCTGAGACACGAAGGGTTCTCAGAGAAGGAGGTGACTCTAACAGGTTTTCAAGTGACGTGGTGTCCACTGTCTGCTGTCCTGTTTCTACCACTTCTGACTCCTGTCTCTGTCCAGGACTAGGGCACCTGCAAGCTTGTTCCTGCTCCTTAGCCTCCATTATTTCCCAGCTCTTTTCCTCTTCTGCTGTGTGCCCTGTTTGCCACCACCACACACCTGGGTCCATGCTATCTTCATCTCCCGGGGTGGCAGTCTCTACCCCTCCTCCTCCTCATCTGGTCAGTCCCTGACACATACTGTACGTTAGAAACACATACACACACGTGTGTAGGAACCCTTCAGCTTTCAGGGCTCGGACACAGGACACATGTTGAGCTGAATAACTGACTGTGCCATGGATTTCTTCTAGGGGAAACTATTCCTCCATCTCAAACTTCCTATGACAGGATTAGTGCAGACAGGAAGGGTGTGGCTGGTTGGAGGATTTTCTCACTGGAGCATGAAGGAAGGTGGAAATTGGC